CTAGTAACACCTGAGAGGAAGGTCGCCATGGCCGCTCTACCCCTCCACCAGTTGGGTAATCGGATAAGAAGTTAGCTAGGATCGCTTGTACATTTCGGAGTCAATGACGAGTTGCAGCACGAAAAGAAACACCAAACTCAAATATCCACGATGACAGGAAACCAACGGTTATTTTTCGGAATGTGAAGGCTGTTATTCTTTGTGTTTCAAGGTAGCAAATTAGTACGAATTTTACCCACAAGTATGAGATGATCAAAGACGATTCAGCAAGTCTGCATCTGTTTGATTCCTCTGTTTAAGTTTTAAATGCCAAAAACCACACAGACAGTTAGGAAATTATTCGTTACTCCCCGTTTTTGCAACCATTAAAATCGCTTGTGCACACAAATATCATGGCAACTCGAGTCACGGTAGATGACATCTTCTAAATTGTCACCATTGAACACCAACTCGCAAAAAAACATGGGATTTGGGAAGGCATAAATTCTTTATTTGGTACTGGAAGCTGGACAACCAGCGCATTCCGACGTCATGTGCACAATCGACCAAAATGTCTGCTTGGTATATGCTGGCACAGGCCACCAGGAGATACGTATTCGAAATTACCTAGATTCATCTGCTGTTCTTGTATAAGTGAATTTTCGATAAACAATCTTCCATCTACAAATAATTGTGACATTTTAGCACTAATGTGATGACAATGAAGCTAGCATGTTTTAAACTAACACTCCACGTTGAATGATTAGCCGAACGCGAGTGTCACGATTGGTTGCAGACTTATCACTCAAGCATGACCAACTTCAGTCAAGTCGAGCGATTGAAGTAGACGATGACCATTTTACAGGTTGAAATGACTTGGATCTTACAACAGCGCAAATTATTTCAGTGCGGTTAAATGCATCGCGTAAAGAGTAAGCGACTATTCTGTAAAATTTCACATTTATTGAAGGAAATCTCTTTCACACAGCAAGTTTTTATGTTTGATATGCGTCGCAATCGCAACAAAAGTCCTTATTTCTTTATACTGGTGACAAAAATGCCTGAATCTGAAATACTGCTAATTCATAAGTGATGAATCAACACAATCAGCAGACCATTAAAAAAAGATCTGCCTGTGTTGACGAATTACGGTGGAATGGTTTTCCACAAATTCGGTGAAAGACTTGAAAAACTATTGCAGTTTTTTTTGAAAGATATGGAGCAATTCGTTCCAAATAGACTTCATCTTGCTCTAACAAACCAGCTTTTTTTCTATGACTGTACAATTCTTTAAATTGATAAAAATTTAGCCAATTATAATCCCCTGAAAATTTAATTGAATCTGTTTAACTCCAAAAACGTCTTTAGGTCATTTGTAATTAAGTAGGCAGAAATATCTGAAAATTTTTCAGATAAATTATGCATCTAACGTGAATCCACTCAATAATTGAGCCAGCCATTTCCGCTTCCTTTTTAAGCACCCGGCGAAACAGCACCCTTTAGCGCATTTTTTTTCAAACGTCCAATGGTCTCACACAAATCTTTGCAGTGTTGAACTTGATTGTGCTCATTTGTGCATTTAAACCACTTATTTTGCAATTTTAGGTGTCATCAGGTTATCTCAATTCAATTCCCTCGTCTCCTGAAATAAGCCTGCGACTTGGGTTTCAGCCAAGGGATTTCCACTAGTGTGGGAAGTGTACGGAGGAAGAGCGAGGGGCGCTGCCTTGTGCATCGTCTCGTCCCCGCTTACCACAACGGGTGAACCGAGTGACCAATGAGGACGCGCGTCTTGTTTAGTTCAAAATGCTCCTATTTCTAGCTAGACTAGCGAGTAGCTAAGTTCGGTTGAAAAACGAACATTAAATAATGCCTTAGAGGAATTGACTGCAATCTCAGTTGCAAACAACTCGCATGATTGTAATAAACGCACTGGAAAATGAGCATATTTCTAGCTCCACTGCAATTCTCCATCCGTATGACTTAAAATTCTTTTCCTTCGTCATTAAAGAAAGCACTTAAACACTCGAAAAAGCCCTTTACATGCCTTTTTCCTCATTTAACCCATTTTTTACACTGTAATGATTATTAGAAACTAATAGGTCATTCAACCTGTAATGACTTATTCACTTGGATTTGATTAACTACGCAAAGATCTGCAAACTCGCATCGCATGCCACTGGGAAGCAAAGAGAAAGAATTGACTGAGGCCGGTGTGGTTCAATATGTCTGCACCCTCAGACGTCTCAACAGTAGGCAACTGCTGCTAGGAAGGGTTATATCTAGCAGGAGCCAATAAAATCGCCACTATCGGTGACTCGACACTTTCATTTAAAGGTAACCAATGGGATCTGTTTACCCGTAGAAGAGCGAATTAACCAGCCTTAACTGAACTCAACGGCACCGGCATCAAAATGCTAATTAGTTGTGCTTTGTTGGAAAGCCACATAGAATTTAAATTCCACACTTTTGAACACCAAGTTTTCAACCAAATTGAATAACAGACGATTTTTTTAATTATCTGGGCGATCACGATAGGTAGATGGGAAAGGCGACATAATTTTATGAGGAACTTTCAGATATTAGTGTTCAGAAGCTAAGATATTTTTTATTTTGTAGCATCTACACATGAAGATAACTTTTTGTCAATTGCAAACATACCAGCTCAATTTGGTCTGCACCAAAAACACTACGTTTGTTATAAAAGAAAAAAAGTTAGTTTTGTGGCAGATTTATTCCCTAGGAGCATGTGGAGCATCTAGGATCCAATCAACGCAGACGACGCACAAGTGAACCGACTTTCGTCTTACCGATTTTATTGGTCAAGCAGGGTTATGCTTACCGTTTACATAACCAACGGTAGTTATTTGCCTGTGTTGGTTTAAGGGTCGATGTGTAAAGCCTAAATCATTTTTGCTACCACTGTCTTTTTCTAAATTTCTTTTTGGCACTTGTCTCCTGGATGACATACAGGTTTGAGTCGAAAGTGCAACAAAATTTTTTATAGCAAAGTTTGTAAAAATAGAGTTTTAGGTCAAATAAAATGCACTTTCAATGCTTGTTCCTGATGCTTTTTGGATTGGAAGACAATAATCCGCAAATACGCCATAGTTTACTACAAAATTAAAGGCGATATAATATTTAAACAACTCATTTTTCGTCTTTAATGGAAAGGTTGGGATTTGTAGAGCATCTGCGATAACACACACATGATTGTAATTTTCACTTCCAAACGTAACAAAACCTCGGTAGTATGCACTAATATAAGTGTTCTTATTGATTTCACTGTACAATAGTTTAAAGGATTACCAAATCAACGACATTTTAAACAAATCAAGTGAGTAGATGCCATAAATCACTCTAAATGATGTACAGTGCTGGAAGCAATAGCTCCCAGATCCTTTCCATCGCTTTAGACAAACCTAACGTGAACCCCAATTCGTGCCTCGTAAGCTAAGCTAAACGAATGTTAAAGACCGACACCTCGACCATGTTACACTTTATCTATCCATCGTTTCATTTTCAAACACTACAGAATAATTGCTCACTTGACAGGAAAGGCCCAAACGACGATAATGTGCTATTCATAAGCAAATATTGGCACAATATTTATTGTTTTGAAAAACTCTTATATGATTTTGTACTTTTTGTTAAGTTAGTGTGTTTTTTAACCATGGGATTCTAAGATTAATCGAGAAGTTTCGTTTACAATGCCTAATGAATATAACATTCATTCAGGTCTCTTATAGGTAACCTTTCAATTACTATAATGTGTATTATTAAATTCCGAAAAAAATTAGTATCGATAGAGAGCAAGTGGGAGGTCATTTCTGCAGTAGTGTAAATTGGACGTTCGCAAATTTATATTGAATTTTTTTATAGAATACGCATAAAATCTGTTGCAGCAACCATCATCCATTTTAAACTCCGCACAAATTGCACAACGCGTGCTAATCTAGACCGCCGAATTCTATCCAAATACTATTTCATTAACTTAAGAACTACCTCATAAATTAGCGTGAACTATTGAAAAACGAAAAAATAGTGTTAAGTGAGATCACCATTCTTCAATAAACACATTTTAATTCTTCACGTATGTTAAACCAAATAATTGAAGTTTAGGCATGTTTTGTCAAATATTCGATCTACTTAAAATATAATTGTCTCAGGCCCGGTATTTTTACCTTAGCAAAAACCTAGCAGCAAAGCTTATGAGTGTTTCGTCCATCACTTACTGACAGTCGTAAGTAGTAACGATAAAATTGCCTTATTTTATTTAATTCAAGAATCCCATAAATTTTGAATCACCATGTTCTTATATTTTTCCACCACATACTAGGCCGGTTAAATGTCAACATGGCATTTTCAAAAATAATTCCTATCACATTAAAAGTGAGCGCTCCTAAGAAATGGGCTTGCACCCGCGTGCTAGAACTTCTCCATGATTAAAGCAAATGAACTCCAAACACCGCTTTTTCGGATAATTTGAAATAAAATGCAAAACATGAATCAAAATATTTTGCCAAATAAGGCCCTCAATATCACAAGGCATTCGAACAATTAAAAAATGTTGATTAGTGAATAAAATAATTGTTAAAGCTGTCTAGCGTTTTATACTGATTTATATCATGTCTAATTTTGCACAATCTTCAGTCTGTGCCTGGGGTGATTTAGGTGTACGCAGTTGTTTCAATAAGACTCTCTTACATTAATATCAAATATGGCCTGATATTTGAAAAAGTTCCTACATAACAGGAAGTATTATTTTTAAAAACTTAATTAATCAATGTAGTCCAGCAACCATTTCGACGCTAAAGTTTTCAGTAATAATGACAATAAAGATTATTGTCATCTTGCATCAAGATTTAAAGAAACGAGATCGTTTTTATGAACAATTTAAAGAACGACAAATGTGCACATTATTGAGTCGGACGACCTTGAACGGCATATAAATTCAAGCTTCTTGTTAATATTGGCCTCAAGGTTGTGTGCGCAGTTGTTTTCTTCGTTAATCTCAAAGCATGTCGGCCGTACAGCATTATACATTGAATAGTGGATACAAGATTCCATCTGTTGGTTTTGGAACTTTTGCAGTAAGAGAATTAGATTAAGTATAATTTTCTACTTTACAGGCTCCTGTGAACGTTGTAAGGGATGCCGTCATTTGTGCCATTGAAACAGGTTACAGGCACATCGACTGTGCGATGTTTTATAAAAACGAAGAAGAGGTTGGAGCTGCGATATCCAAATCCATGGCGTCGCAAAATCTTAGGCGTGAGGATTTATTTATCACTTCAAAGGTATTTGTGCACTTGATTAGCGTGACTGCTTTTAGCTGTGGTGCGATAGTCATAAGCCAGACGACGTGCGGCCTTCCTGTGAGCTTTCGTTGAAAAAACTTGGCCTGGAGTATCTCGATTTGTATCTTATCCATTGGCCTGTGTCGTTTCATACAAAGCCGGGCAAGGAGTTTTCTATTGATGATCCAGATGCAATTGAGTTCGAAGAGCATCCATTAGAGGATACATGGAAGGTATGTCTCGTAAACAATAACTGATTTCTTTTTTATAGGCCATGGAGAGTTTGGTTTCTGCTGGTCTGGTTAAGTCGATTGGTGTGTCCAATTTTAACAGGAAGCAGTTGGATCGAATACTGAAAATCTGCACTATACCGCCGGCGGTGAACCAAATTGAAGTTTCCGTGAACTGTATGAACACAAAAATGATTGAGTACTGCCATTCAAAGGGTATTCAGGTTGAAGCGTATGCTCCGTTTGGATCTCCTGGTGTCATGAAGTGCGTTTGTTATTATGACGATTGTGGACCATGTTGAAACTTTGTTTGAATTTTTAACCAGCAGCTAATTTGTACCGATAATATATCCACAAACACGACTGAAAGCATGCAAACTCCGAAATAATGGGAATGCGTTGTTTAAAATTGTACTGATTCGTGCTTGTTGACATCCTGGTGTGTGGAAATGGTGTGGTGGCTTTTAGCACTGACGTGGTTTTTGGCACTGAAACAATTGTGAACCCAACTGGGGTTAATCGCTTCTGCATGCAATATCTATTAAAGAATTAAGAGGGAATATTTTGCCTTTGTAGAGGGAAAGTACTTCCACTTTTCGAGGCGCCATTTGTGAAGAAGATTGCAGATGCTCACAATAAGACTACGGCTCAAGTCCTACTCCGTCATGCCTTGCAGCGAGGACTCGTGGTTTTATGCAAAAGCACCACCGAATCACGCATCAAGTCGAATTTCCAGGTAAGTCACAACCGTATTCCTGACGTGGATTTCCCACTGCGACCGTGTGGTTGCAAGTTGTCCTTGTACCTTGGCATTTCGTTGTCCATCTGTTGGTTTTGGAACTTTCGTGGGACTGTTTTCTGCCATTTTGTCGCGGATTGGCTTGCAATCGATGTTATTCTCTTTAGACCGTACATTATTATGGAAAATGCTTTAACTTATGCTACTTGTTTCTGCATTTTACTTTGATGTTGGTTTAAACACTAGTTCTACTTTTCTGTTTAGCTATTTGATTTCGAACTGACTGAGGCAGAAATGCACATACTGAATACAAGTGGCTGTAACGTTCGACTCTTCGAGATTCCTGCGTAAGTTCTGATGTTTAACAAGGAAGCCCTTTTTATACTGTCCGTTGGGAGCCGCTGAGTGAGTGTGTGGCTTGTTTGTGCGCGACCCCAAATATACAAATCTGAAACCCAAGACAATGTGGCAGTAAGTTACTCAGTTGGATCTGCTGGTAATCATGCGTATTCATTCCTTTGACATTTCGTGGGACAGTTTTATGCCTAGAACTAACACCAAAGCGGATGAGCGTCTTCCGTAGTTTACTTATATTATGCTCACTCCACCTTGTTAGGTGGGTTTTTTTACTTTGTGGAAAATGTAATTTGCGGAAATCTAAAACGACTTCATTTTTTTTATTGCAGCATAAAGAACCATCCAGAATACCCGTTCAATGACGAGTATTAGTAATGGCCACTAACTGGATTTTTCATCCGTAGTTTTTAAATAAAATTTTAATATCATCCAATACCCTCGACTTTTTGTTCAAAACCCGAGGTTGCAATGCTTTAAGGTGACTGGCAGGTGTGACTGATGCAGACTGCATGGAAATGACGGTCGAAGTAGTGTAGTTGTCGCTGCAGATCTCACAGGACTTGACTGAAGTTGAACTAACTCATTCCTGTTGATATTGTTAAGGTCGAAAATTTCGACATCATTGAAATGCCTAGGTTATCTTGTGCATACAGGAAGGAGTCTTGCTTAAAATCGTACATCAGAACATGAAAAGTGCTGCATGATCAGTTTTTATGATACAAGCAGAGTGCTTCAGTTTGGCGGGAAATCTGCATGGTATTCATAAGCTTCCTGTATGAGGACATGCCACCTGACCTAAACTTAGCACACGATAGTCAGGGTAAGGAAAATAAACGAATTAATGACCAACACAACTTATAATCAGTACAGTGGCTGTGCTCTGACGATGCTCAATGGAGACCTACTAGCCACGGCCAGTAGAGAGTAAGTTATGCATGTAGCTTAATTAATTTCTCAAGCGCATGTTTCATTCCTGTGTGAGCACATGCCACCTGTGTGTAAGCGTGTTTGCTTAGATACGTAAAAGTTAGTTCGGTGGCTAGTTGGCATGGAAAATGTGGCACTACGCATTCGTTACAATGTTCTGAAATATGCACACATGTACCTTTCTTCTGTCCGATTAAATGCGTATTATAGAAACCACAAACGGAGGAAATTAGTTGTTATATTCGCCTGATGTGACTACATTGCGGTAGTCCAGACATGGATTCAGTTTCCTCATCTAAGTCTCTACCTTCGGGTCCTGACCCTTCCGCGAATTTGTCCCACCACTGCTTTGAATTAACAGCATCCTTTATTGCAGCAACTTTTACTAGCTACTGACATCTCTGAGAGACACCAGGCAAGCAAATTCGATTGTGATGATACAGTATACAACATTCATCTGTTAATATTAAATATCCCTTTAAGTTTTTAAACAACATTTGTGTTGCCTGTGGGTCATGCGCTTTCCTTCAAACTATCCTTACGTCCTGACAAGAGGCCCAATCTGAGACAGAACGCTTTGGTAATCAAAATTTTCAGCTCAATAGCTTGCTTCCTCTAAAATAGCGCTGCATACTGCGTTTCAAAGTACCTTAACCTTTAGGAGAACTGTGGTCTCAGTGGTGCGATAAGCTACTTCTGAAGTCTGCAGGCTGTAGTATCAAATGATGCACAAAGTTATACATAAAAGTATGAGTAATCATGTGCTCTCAAGATTGCGCCGGCGCATAATTTATCAAATAACAAACAAAGAACTTCTGACAAATCAGCAGGAGCTTACAAGAAGGAACCCCTAAATATACTTTTCTTTCAAAAATTACTAAGGGAGACCGGAAATCCAATTGAATCTGCAACAGACTTTTCCCCATCACGCCGAACAGTAGCATTTGTCGTGTCAACGGCAAATCCATTTGTTTATCACACATGTAAATATGCCTGTGCCAGCGACACGGGTGCATTGTGTCCTAGCGACAGGGCCCACTAGATCAGACACTCAATTTACAACCATCAAGTGGCATTCAGAAATGGTTTACGCTGAGCGATTATGCACTGTCACAGTGAAGAAGCGTGCATAGCTGTTGTCGACAGTCGCTTACACACAGTCATCAATCACGGTACACCGACAAAGTCACCACTTCCTGTGGTGCATTAGACTTATTTCAATGTCCACCGGAAGCGTATTCCGACAAGCCACCTGAAATCTACTCGTTCTCGGTTCGCAACTGCCATCTTGTGACAACCAACTGCTATCTTGACACGAATGTTACTGTCTGCTACAGTCAAATTCTCGACTGACACCAGCAGGTTACATCCAACTGCATAATGCAACCTGCAGGTGAACCCATGAATGTGTACGCCCGACACACTGCTTCCAGTACTCCTAATTATGCGGAAGTAGTCACAGAAGTTCGTTCACTCCACCCACTTCAAGACCTCCACGGCATTAGTCATGACGACGTGGTAGTGAAGTGTTAGGTCACTAGGATGGTTTGAACGATGCTGTGACATCGGATGAAGGAGCATTTACCGAGACTTGGATGAAACAAAATTAGGTGTCTTCTCGATGTCCCCTTACATTGCATGCTTACTTTCCACAAGTGACTTCGACCAGTGCAGGTGGAGACTGTGTGGGAATCTTAAACTGTGGCTTACCAGACAGACTGTTGCAAGCGCCATCAAAGTTGCCTGTTCTTTCTTACAGTGGCACATCTGGTTTGGTAGTATGGATGACTCATTTGCGAAACAGATGTACACACCTGGATTTTTCCATGGATTCCGGCCAAAGGAATATTTACACATTGGCATGGATAGAATATTGATTGCAAGATATGCCTACATCGACAGTGTGTATGTGTGTGCGTGTGTGTGTGGGTCTGCATTTCTGCGCACTACATGCCAAAATGCAAACATTTTACCGTGTATAGTATTTTCAGGTTACAACTCACGCTAATGTCCCTGAACATTCGCTAAAATTCTCCACCCAAACGAACAGTCACTGCAATGAGCGTTTGTTGATGTTTACGGTGATAAATTGCTACAAGTCTCCAGCACACATTACAAATTCGAATCAAACACATCTATGGCTGAAGACTTTAAATTCTCGATTCAATCGTAGATGCTTGGTCCATCAATCGTGCAAATGCTCATCGACTGCGTCTGCCGAATATTCACACTGATGATACTCTCGTAATGCCCAACAAGCAGAATAACAAATCGCCTTAATGGTTATAGAAACTCTCAAGGCAATTACTGCGGTCAAGTAAACAATGTCAGCTACATTTAAACCAAGTGTGCCAGTATGCAGTCGAATCACACGTTTAAACAGCAGAAAACGGTCTAAATCAATGAGTTATTCAGTTCACTTGGCACTCCGTGGTCACTGGAATTCGTGCGTGCTTCTAGCAGGGTTAATTCAGACGCATAGTCAAAACGGCCAAGAACAGGAAACCATTGTGCAGGTGAACACGTGAGTTCATGTGGACG